GTCCCACATTGGGCATAGAGCTTACTTAAAAAGCCAGGGGCACCTGATGCCCTGATGTCACTGTCTTGAAATTCGTAATACTTTTTTCTAGCACTGGGCCCTGCAAATTATGTAACTGGTTTTGCCTGGCAGTCAGAGTACTGGCAGCCACACAGGGGGAGAGGGCTGGAGTTTCAAGGTTTAGTGTGTAGCTTTCCCCTGAGCCCTGTGTTTTCCAAGTTGCTTCACCCCCATCTCACTTGGGCCTGTTGTCCATGGCCTCTCTAGCCTAACTTTAGAAAATCCTCTTTTCTGCCAGGGCTGTCAGAGGGCCATATGGGCTAGAGGAAGAGAAGAGAGGGAGTCAATCTAATTCCTCTACTTTTGCCTAGTTCTGTGGTAGGACTCAGCTTCCTCTTTGAGGCTTGCTCTCCTGCAGACAATTGCAGAGAAGAAAAAGAGCAAACTTAATTACCAATTAGTCTATCCCCAAATTTTGTCAACACTGAAGTCTACCATCTCACCTCTTTTCTTTGCCCTTGTGGGTTTATGCCTTTGTCCTTTCATCTTAGTGGGGTTTGGGGAGGCAGGAAATAAATGTTGAGTGTTCAATCTGCCATGTATGGCCACTAGTCTTAATTTGCTTTCCATAGCAGAAACCACTTTTCCCTTTATCACTCAATTTTTGTTGGTTTATATAATAATCAAATTATGTGATTACAGTTGCAAGTAGAACTGGCATAAGTAAGTTTAAGAACAAACCCAATTGACTGCTGGTAAATGTACAACTCAGAAGTGTGTGGGCATCTAATTTATTTTACAGAGGAATGAAAATTGTGGTTAAGTTGGGCAAGTTGGATTAAATGGAAATTAGTTAACTGAGCTTCTATTGTAAATAAATGAATATAAGGCATTCATTAAGAAAGTTCATTATGGAAAGTCTAAACGATTTGGCTTCTTGGACAACCAATTTGAAGAAGCTTATCTGTCTTTAAAACTGCTTGAGCAAGAAAATGTCTTTCTAGGGTCGGCCTCATTTCTGCACTTTTTGGGTATTAAGGATGTGTTCAGACTGACCTGGACTCTGGACCTTGGTCTGTCCTAATTCATAGTTATTCCATCCCACCTGTTTCTTAGTCTTCTAGTTGAACTTTTGACCTTCTTTGACCTAAAAGACCTTGGTTACCATCTATGAGTTGATACCTTACATCCCCTTTAAGGACCCTCTCATAGGTACCGGGTTCCTCCAGTCTTTAGCGTTTTAGGAATTCTTGAGGACAAAACTGACCTGCTTTCTATGGCTTCCTTCTCTGTAGGAAGTCAGGTTTCAGCTTCTGTGCTCTAAGTCAGGTGCCCATTTATCTTTTTGCTTTCTGTCTTCCAAAAATCTGTTATTTTCATTTGTCTTCTCCCATATTTGTCTGTGAAGGGTTTAGAGCTTTAAAAAAAAAGTTACTATTCTTTTACTCTCGGCTTATTGTGGGTTCCAAAGAGAGCAGAGCTACTGCTTATTTTCGGTAGGTTCTGTTTGGCCCTCACTCCTACTATGGTGGCTTCTCATTTTCTAAGCCCTCGGTCTTCTGATTCTCCAGAAAATAGGATCCTCCATTTTGAGCTTTTTAGACACTTTAAAAAAGATATCTACCCAGCCTTTTCCTGGGACCACCTAGCAAAGCCCTATTTTTCTGTAGTTAATATGCAGTCAGAAACAAGTCAATGTGAATTCACTTTTGTAAACGTCAATTAAAAGTTAGGAATTTGGGGTGCAGCGTGGCTCATTTGGTTAAGCGTGGGGCTCTTGAATTTGGCTCAGGTCATGATCTCATGGTTTGTGGGTTCAAGCCCTGTATTGGGCTCTGGGCTGACAGCATGAAGCCTGCTTGGGATTCTCTCTCCCTCTCTCTGCCCCCCTCCCTCTCTCACTCTTTCTTCCTCAAAAAAAAAAAAAAATTAGGAATTTATCCATTTTTTCTGAGTTGTCCAATTTGTTGGCATATAGGTTTTCGTAATATCGTTTACAATTGTTTGTATTTCTGTGGTATTGCTTGTTATTTCTCCTCTTCCTTTAGTAATTTTGTTTATTTGGGTCCTCTGTCTCTCTTTTTTTAATTGGCTAGAAGTCTATCAATTTTGTTGATCTTTTCAGAGAACCAGCTCCTGGTTTCATTGATCTGTTATACTGGTTTTTTTTTTTGTTTGTTTGTTTCTTTTTTTAGTTTCTATATCACTTATTTCTGCTCTAATCTTTATTATTTCCTTCCTTCTGATGGTTTTGGTTTTGTTTATTCTCTAGCCCGTTTAGGTATAAAGTTAGGTTATTTGAGAATTTTCTTGCTTCTTGAGGTAGGCCTGTATTCCTGTACACTTTCCTCTTAGAGCCACTTTTAGCATATCCCAGATTTTGGACCATTGTATTTTCATTTTCATTTGTTTTCGTGTAATTTTTGATTTCTTCTTTGATTTCTTGTTTGACCCATTCATTGTTTAATAGTATGTTATTTAACATCCATGTATTTATATCTTTTCCAGATTTTTTCTTGTGGTTAATTTCTAGTTTCATAGTGTTGTAATCAGAAAAGATGCATGGTATGACTTCAGTTTTTATGAATTTGTTGAGACTTGTTTGTGGCTAATATGTGATTTGTTCTGGAGAATGTTCCACGTGTACTTGAAAAGAACGTGTATTCTGCTGTTTTAGGATGGAATGTTCTGAATATGTCTGTTAAATCCATCTGGTCCAGTGTGTCATTTAGAGCCACTGTTTTCTTGTTGATTTTCTGTTTCGATGATCTGTCCATCATTTAGTGGGGTGTTAAAATACCCTGTTATTATATTATTATTGATTATTTTTTAAAGATTTTTTTAAATGTTTATGATTTTTGACAGAGAGAGAGCATGAGTGGGGTAGGGGCAGAGAGAGAGGGAGACACAGAATCCGAAGCAGGCTCCAGGCTCTGAGCTGTCAGCACAGAGTCCGATGTGGGGCTTGAACTCACGGACTGTGAGATCATGACCTGAGCCGAAGTCGGACACTCAACCAACTGAGCCACCCAGGTGCCCCTTATTATTGGTTATTTTATGTTTGTTATTGACTGTTTTATATATTTGGGTGCCACCATTTTGGTTGCATAAATATTTACAATTGTTATATCCTCTTGTTGGGTTGTCCCCTTCATTATTATATAGTATCCTTCCTAGAAGGAAGTATTAGCAAGGATGTGGAGAAAAAGGAACCCTCTTGCACTGTTGGTGGGAATACAAATTGGTGCAGCCATTGTGGAAAACAGTATGGAGTTCCTCAAAAAGTTAAAAATAGAATACCCTACAATCTAGGAATTGCACTACTGGGTATTGACCCATAAAATACAAAAAACACTAATTCAAAGGGATATATGCACCTCTGTTTACTGTAGCATTATTTACAACGGAAAAACTATGGAAGCAACCCAAGAGCCCGTTAATAGATGAGTGGATAAAGAAGATGTGACACACACACACACACACACACACACACACACAAAATGGAATATAACTCAGCCATAAAAAAATAATGAAATCTTGCCATTCGCAATAACATGGAGAGAGCTGGAGAGTATCATGCTAAGCAAAATAAGTCAAAGACCAATACCATATGATGTCACTCATATGTAAAATTTAAGAAACAAAACCAATGAGTAAAGGAAAGAGAGAAACCAAGAAACAGACTCTTAACCAATTTTTAAAAATGAAAAAAAACACGTTTATTTATTTAGAGAGAAAGAGTGACCAAGGGAGGGGCAGAGAGGGACACAGAGGATCTGAAGCAGCTCTGTGCTAACAACAGAGAGCCTCATGCAGGGCTTGAACTCACAAACCACGACCTGAGTGAAAGTCGGATGCTTACTGACTGAACTACCCAGGTGCCCCTAAATCTTTTTTTTAAGTAGGCCCCATGCCCAGTATGGGGCTTGAACTCATGACCTTGAGATCGAGTCACATGCTGTACCAAATGAGACAGCCAGGCCCTCTAAGAAATAGACTCTTAACCAGAGAGAAAAAACTGATGGTTACCACAGGATATGTGGGTGGGAGGATAGGGGAAGTAGGGGATGGGGATTAAAAGGGACAGTTATCATGATTAAAAAAAAGATTAAATGACTTAAAAAAATGAAAGGAGCTATTGATTTTTATAGAGGAGCACTCTATAAACTGGAAGATACCACCCAAAGATAATCCTTGTTATATCAAAAAAAAAAAAAAAAAAAAAAGTGACCTGAAGATTTTTTTTTAGTAATTACCAATCTATGTTTATCTCCATAACATACTCCTCATTTAGCAAATCAGACTGTAGTTATCTTGCCACATGCTTCCCACCCTCCCCGTCCTGCCTGTATAGAGCTATTGACGTTCACAGTTTTTTTCATGGGAGTTGGTGTTATTTAAATGGCAGATAGATCAAAGATAAAGAAAAAAATTAGGGAACTCTTTGCGATAAAGATATAGTTCAATTCAAGTGAAGTAACTCTTGAGAAATTTCCTCTTAATTGTGAAATAAGACTCATAAGGTAGATGAGTTTTTCTCTTTTGACTATGAAGAGGAGAGTAGCGACTGGGAGTTAAAACTTTCCCCTTAGGGGGCGCCTGGGTGGCGCAGTCGGTTAAGCGTCCGACTTCAGCCAGGTCAGGATCTAGCGGTCCGTGAGTTCGAGCCCCGCGTCAGGCTCTGGGCGGATGGCTCGGAGCCTGGAGCCTGTTTCCGATTCTGTGTCTCCCTCTCTCTCTGACCCTCCCCCGTTCATGCTCTGTCTCTCTCTGTCCCAAAAATAAATAAACGTTGAAAAAAAAATTAAAAAAAAAAAAAACTTTCCCCTTAGAACAAAAGGGCAGTTGCAGCATTTCTTAAACTCACAGCAATTATTTTTTGTACAATTGCATGGGCACTTTCGGATTAAAGGTCCTTTTTGTGGGAGGTAGGTGAATTTAAATAGTTCTTTTCATCTTTCATTAGTATATAACTTTTTCACATATGTATTTTGTTTCTGCAGGAGTACAATCAATTTCTTGAGGGTAGAGCATGTTTCTGACACATCTTAGCATCTCTGAGTGCCAGAAAAAATAGGTGCTTACCATCAGGATCAGGTAATGTGCATAAGTTCATTTAATTTAAAAAAAGAATTTAAAACATTTATTTTGAGAGAGAGTGACAGCAAGCAGGATAGGGGCAGGGAGAGAGAGAATCCCAAGCAGGCTCTGCACTGTCAGCACAGAGCCCAATGTGGGGCTCGAACTCACGAACTGTGAGATCATGACCTGAGCCAAAGTCAGGAGTTGGATGCTTAACCGACTGAGCCACCTAGGCGCCCCTCATTTAATTTTTGTAACAACTACTAGAGAAGAGCTATTACTCTCATTTTATAGATGAAGACACTGAGGCACGAGATACAGCTCCAGTAAGAAGTCCAGCTGGAACTGACTTCACTTGGCTGATTAACCAGGTTAGGTAAATCCTACCCTAGTATCCTGCAGCATCTGTCTTCAGTGAACAGGTCAGGTACTTTCTGGAGAGAGATCTGCGACTTCACAGACCTTGCAGAATAGGTTGTAGGACTACTTGCTAATAAATGTTTGATGAATTTGGCCCAAGGCCATCTTTCACTTTAACACACCATCTGAGAGAAGATGGTGGAGGAGCCCTGTAGCTCAACTTATCTCTTAACTATTGGAGGCTACTTCTGTCTGCCCAAAAGAAGCTAATAAGTGTGAATGACCAAATTGACAGGTTACTTTATAATTTCCTTCTCCTTAGTTATCTCCATCTAGAAGAAATCTAGTCTCAGAGAGTCTAATAATGTCTTGTGAAGATTTATCATACATTTCCATGTGGTCGCCACTGGGGCTATGGTCTCTTGACGTGGAGCCCTTGCTGCAGAATGTTAGCCTTTGGAACACAGTGGGGCCTGTGGGCTGAAATTTCAAGGAAGCAGCAGTTAGAAATTTAATGTCTCCAAACACTGCAGATTTCCTGGATATTTCCAGTATCAATGAACGAAGCCACTGAAGTTAAATGATTGCAGCTGTTGCAATGGCTCCTCCCACCTTCCTTTTGGTCCACTGTCAAGGAAATCCTGTGTTAGTGACCCTGTCTCTCCTGTACATCTATCTCATATGTCCCCATTGCAAGCTCCCCTATCTCAACTAGATCCATGTTCCAAAAACACTGGAGATTTTTGTCCTAGCTGGTTGTTTGGTATCCCAAGTAGTCTCGTAATTGCTTGTGAATTACAGGTCTATTTAGATTTTGTGATGAGAAACACAGAATTGGTACTTTTAAAATGTTTTAAAAAGTAAAAAATATATATGAATATAAGCAATGAATCAAAACCTATAACCTAGGTATAAAGTCGATTATCCACTATAATTGGTGAAACTATGAACCATGCTCTCCAGACTGATTTCATACAAACATTTAAGTTTTCATTTCACAGTAATTTGAAAAGTAATATGCACAGTTAGGGTAAAATTTGGAGTTCTTGTTTATTCCTAATTCATCTAGAACAGTGCTGATGGAACTTTACAGAAAGTTTTAATCTGTGCTGTCCAATAAGGTAGCCACTTATTAAATCATACATAATTAAATCATACATGATTATTGAGTACTTTATTTTTTTAAATTTTTTTAATGCTTATTTATTTTTGAGAGAGAGAGAGAGAGAGAGCAAGCAGGGGAGGGGCAGAGAGAGAGGGAGACACAGAATCTGAAGCAGGCTCCAGGCTCAGCACAGAGCCTGACGCGGGGCTCCAACTCACGAGCTATGAGATCATGACCTGAGCTGATATCGGATGCTTAACTGACTGAGCCACCCAGATGCACTGACTATTTAGTACTTTAAATGTGGCTAGTGCAACAGAGGAATTGAGTTTTAAATTGTTTAAATAGTCACATGTGACTCATGGGTACCTTATTAGAACAGATCTAGAATACAGTGATGACCTTGTAACAGGATAGTCTGTTATGTTGCAGCCACAAAGAACCCTAAAATCTTGATTTATAAGAACAAAGATTTATTTCTTACTTGTGTTATCTGCCCATTTGGGGTTGGCTGGGGACCCAGGCAGATAAAGTAGTCACCATCTCACATGTTGCCGGTCATCATGGAGAGTCTTGCGCTAGTACTTAAATCCTCTGGCTCAGAAGGGACGCACATCACTTTCTACTCACAGCTTACTGACCAGGACTAGTCACAGCCCCATCTAGCCAGGGAGCCAGCAAAGCTGTGCCAGGGGGCAAAGAGCCTCAGTAATGACTGGCACAGATATTAGCCTCCCTTTCAAAATACGGAGGAGTTCCTAAGGGGTAAAGAAAGTAGTATTACCTTGTGTTTTCTTAAAAAGTGGGAGAATTGAATTTCTTTAGAATTATCCTTTATCTCCTTGATACTCATTAGCATAGATTTATTAAAAGCAGGTAAAATGTGAAAAGTAAAAAACTCAAACACTTTGATTAAAAAGAAAAAAAGACTCAGGACACCTGGATGGCTCAGTTGGTTAAGCGTCCGACTTCGGCTCAGGTCATGATCTTCAGGTTCATGAGTTCGAGCACTCCATTGGGCTCTGTGCTGACAGCTCAGAGCCTGGAGCCTGCTTCGGATTGTGTCTCCCTCTCTCTGTGCCCCTCCCTCGCTCATGCTCTGTCTCTCTCTCTCTCTCTCTCTCTCTCTCTCAAAAATAACTTAAAAAATTTAAAAAAGAAAATGGCTTTAAAAAAGAAAAAAAAGACTATATAAAGTTAGAGCTGACAATAGCATGTCTTTGTAATTATACACAGAAATATCATTTAATATGAAGTTCTGCAATGTAAGCAGCAACCAATGGATTTTTATATGTTTGGGATGAAAATGGAATGGGAGAAAATGTATATGTTATTTTTCCTGGTGCAGAACATGTATGGTACATTTTTCCCTAATGAGGAATAAAAAATCCTTGTCTTTAAAACTAGTAATTTCCTCACTAGGAACATTTGTGGATTGTGACTGCCTTTAAAAAATGAAAAAAATTATGGGGCGCCTGGGTGGCGCAGTCGGTTAAGCGTCCGACTTCAGCCAGGTCACATCTCGCGGTCCGGGAGTTCGAGCCCCGCGTCGGGCTCTGGGCTGATGGCTCAGAGCCTGGAGCCTGTTTCCGATTCTGTGTCTCCCTCTCTCTCTGCCCCTCCCCCGTTCATGCTCTGTCTCTCTCTCTCCCAAAAATAAATAAATGTTGAAAAAAAAATTAAAAAAAAATGAAAAAAATTAAATATTAACTGACCAATGGATTGTTTCCTTCCAGACTACACCAAAGAATCATAGAATCATCTAGTCCAATATTTATTAGCATGTCTTGATTGTTTCTAGAATATCTATAATATTGTTTGAACACTCAAGACATAAGAGGCTCACCATCTGATAACAGATTTCCTATAAAGCAGGAGCATTATCAGGAATTTCCTCCTAACAAATGTTTCGATGTCAAGACACGGAAAGATGGAACTTGGTTGCCAGTAAGAAACTGCACCAACGTTACAAATGCAAACCAAGCCCTGGTAAATAATATTAATGATGATGATTTTGTCACACGCCAAAAATGTCATATAGGTTTTAGCATTATGAGGATCCTATAGATATTAAATATCTGTAGAATGTAATTGAACCAAATGACACTCAAGAGAAATTTTGAACATGTGCAAATCAAGCTGCCTATTAGCAACAAGAACTACGTCAGTCATCCTGTTCCTTAGTGAATCACAACCATCTAAGCCATTCATGCAGCACAACATTTGTTTGTTTCCAGGATCCATCAGGGTAGTCTACAGCTGGTGGCATGGCAAGAAAGAGGAGGCTGCAGAGACTGAACAAACAGCATGCACTGTGGTATCCTTTATTTAAAAATTGTGAGCTAACTACAGTTGTAGTGTTCTCATTTACCATTCTGATGGCATAATAAACTGCGAGAACATTAACACAATTTCAAGACATTAAAAATCTGTAACAAACACACCACACATGCACACACACACACAACATACATGCACACAAAGGTTATAGTCTTCTAAACACAGTTAAGTGAAGAAAAGCTTCAAAAGCTCTAAATCAAATTTTAAAACCCTTTATTATAAACCGTGGCAATACTGTGGCTATTATGAAAAAATTGTAACTGCTAAAAAAGCAAAAAGAAAAAATACTGGCAAATTTGAAACTAGCAGCAAAAAGCAGATAAAAATAGAATGGAAGGTAACATAAGACTACTATCAAAGTTCTGAAGTTGATCCTGTGTAGGGTTGCACTGAAGTCATTTCAAATTGGTTCTTGAGGAACTATTAAAAAGTCCCTTCAAATATTAAATTGCTGCACTTTACAAACAGTGGAAAAGAAAAAAGTATTTGGAATGTTACACACACACACTCAGAGGAAATGTATTAGGCATATTAGTTTATAGTCTTTGTTTATGACCTTCAAAAAGTTTATAAAGAAAAATTTAAGTGCCAATGTAGTGAAAGAAAAATTTCTAAAGATGCAAGTCTGAGTGCATTTATCAGGTCTAAGAATACATTTGAAGGCTGGGGGGCAAGGCATGACTGATGCACATTCAAGAAGAAAACATCGTGGAACCCATAAGGTAGGTAGAGTCCTCTGGAGAGTGTTTAGAATTGAAGGCGTGTTAAACTCAGACTACCCTGAAGGAGATTCCAAAGTATGTGCAGTTCTACAGCCCTTCATCAGTTGAAATCCGTTTCACAGCGGCCAATAAATAATTAAGACTAACTTTTTAGGAAACTGCTTTTTCATACATTCAAACACAGAAATCTTTACCACACATGCAGAGCTGATCTTCTATAACAGCACAAATACGAATCCTGGTTTCAGAAGAAAAGCACATTAGCAAGGATTTTTTTTTTCACAGGTTCTTACAAAAATGTCTGAAGCTGCTAGACATCTGCAAAGAGGGGATAAGTTTAGATTTCCTACTGATTTTGGAAGAAAAGAGATTCTATTCTCCTAAAGAAGCCAGCCACCCATGAGCAGGGGACCTGTCTTCAGAATCTAAGAAGCATAATGTCCTTAGTGCTTAAACTCATGGCAAATTCAGATCCAGAAAAACGGGTAGATACATCAGGGGAGAGAAATGAAGTTTGAATGTGTACAGTATACTTTGGAATAAAATGTGCCTCATACGTTCAAATGGCTCAACTGCTTTCAGAATGGTGTGCTGCAGGGCTGGAGGAGACTCGGTTCTCTGCAGTTAGGAGCTGGGAGAGAGAGATCTCTTTCTCCTTCGGGCTGTGACCACAGGGCCTTATTTTTCATGAGTGCTTTCAGTTAGGGAATTTATGACCTTACCCAGATAAAGATTTCTTTTGGTTACTTTCTCTTTAAAATCAACTGATGAGGCAAGTTACTGGTAGTATCTTAAGGTGCCAGCTAATTCAAATTAATGCCCATCAATAACTGCTGCTAGGTGTCAACTGCTGTTGCAGAACAATCAACCCCCAAAAGACCTAACTAGATAATCTATCACACTAGGTGCTTTTACTATCTTGGATTTTTTGAGCTTTAGAGAAATAGTCTTTGTAAGACGACTTAGAAACTGCTTCTCTCTGGCTTTCACTCTTCCTCTTCTTCCTCTTCTCCTTCCCCTTCCCCTTCCTCCATGGTTTCCACAATGAGCTCTGCTGTGCAGGTGGCTTCTCCGAGACTGTTGACAGCCTTGCAGGTATACTTGGCATCGTCATCCCCGCAAACATCACTAATGATTAAAGAGCAGTTCCCATCCTCGTCGTAGTCTATCTGGAAGTGGCGGGACTCCCGGATTGACTGGTCATCTTTGAACCAGACAACTTCAGGGTCTGGGTATCCTGCAGCACAGGGAGGGAACACAAGTTTCTTATCAATTCGTGCAAGCAATTCGTAAGCAACCTCTATTGATTAACGGGGTACAGGGAAAGTATCATGATGTTGGCTTTTAGCATCTGTTTTGAGATTTACATTTGGATATGGGCATATATTGTAAATACTGATATCCAAAACCCCGCAAAAAAAGTTGTCATATAGTCATGTCACTTACCATCCACGTGGGGCTTGTACTGCCTCCCACCTTTATACAGATCTAGAGTACTACCTGGAACACAGCCTTGACTCCAACTGCACTCCTAGAGCTAAATAAATAGGTCCTTGGACGAAAAGAAAATTTCTTGTATAATAGTTAAATAATTTTTTTTAATGTTTACTTAGTTTTGAGAAAGAAGGAGAGAAAGCACGAGTGGAGGAGGGGCAGAGAGAGAGGGAGACAGGATCTGAAGTAGGCTCTGTGCTGACAGCAGAGAGGCTCGAACTCACAAACCATGAGATCATGACTGGAGCCGAAGTCAGACACTAAACTGACTGAGCCATCCAGGCGCCCCTGTTCTCTTATTTTTTATTTAAATGTGTTTAAGTTCGGGGTGCCTGGCTGGCTCAGTTGGTTGAGCACGACCTTTGGCTTAGGTCGTGATCTCATGGTTCATGAGTTTGGGCTTTGTGCTGATAGGGCAGAGCCTGCTTCGGATTCTCTGCCTCCCTCCTTCTCTGCCCCTCCCCTGCTAGTTTGGGCGTGCTCCCTCTCCCTCTCTAAAAAATAAATAAATATTAAAAAACATTTTTTAAATAAAAAATAAAGAGCAAATAGGCACGAGAGATCTTTGGAGATGATGGAAATATTCTAAAATTGGTTGTGAGATTGCATAATTCTGCAAATCTAACAGAAGATAATTTAACTGTACACATAAAATAGGTAAACTTTATGGTATGTAAATTATAACTCAAAGCTAATGACAGCTCTATAATAAATTAGAGGAGCTGATAATATTGCTTAAAAGAAAAGCCATTATTTGTTTTAGTCTGATCCAAAGACAGATAAACTACTTATGGATAACTGGAAATTGGCCACATGGGTTAGCCTCATTTTACATGTTAGTCATGTTTATGCAAAGTTCAGCATTTAAAAAATATTATATAGGGGCGCCTGGGTGGCGCAGTCGGTTGGGCGTCTGACTTCAGCTCAGGTCACGATCTCGCGATCCGTGAGTTCGAGCCCCGCGTCGGGCTCTGGGCTGATGGCTCGGAGCCTGGAGCCTGCTTCCGATTCTGTGTCTCCCTCTCTCTCTGCCCCTCCCCCGTTCATGCTCTGTCTCTCTCTGTCTCAAAAATAAATAAACGTTAAAAAAAATAAAAAATAAATTAAAAAAATATATATATACATATATACACACATACACACACACATCATATTTATGTATTATATATGATATATATACACACACACATATAGGTCTTTACAAATATACAGGGGCGCCTGGATGGCTCAGTCAGTTAAGCATTCAACTCTTGATTTCAGCTCAGGTCATGATCTCATGGTTCATGAGACTGAGCCCCATGTCCAGCTCTGTGCTGACAGTGAGAAGCCTGCTTGATATTCTCTTTCTCCCTCTCTCTCTCTCTCTCTCTCTACCCCTCCCCTGTGCTCTCTCTCTCTCAAAATAAATAAACTTTAAAAATATATATATATATACATACACACATATATATATATGTATGTATATATATATTTATACAATCTGAGTTGTTCTTAAATTTGGGAGAAATACTTTTATAGGAAAAAAATTACACATAAGAACTTAAGAATTCTAGGGGTGCTTGGGTGGCTGAGTCGGTTAAGCGTCTGACTCTTGGTTTAGACTTAGGTCATGATCTTGTGGTACATAATTTCGAGCCCCGCATTGGGCTCCAAGCTGAAAGCACGGAGCCTGCTTGGGATTTTCTCTCTCCCTCTCTCTCTGCCCCTCCCCTGCTCACTCTCTCTCTCTCTCAAAGTAAACTTAAAAAAAAAAAAAAGAATTTAAGAATTATAACATTCTTTTCAAGTAGAATTTTGTTTTTATCAAAACTGCCTCCATATGCTTTAATTCCTTCTCAGTGTTTCAGTGGAAGTTATGCAAATATGAAGGAATAATCCCAGACAGAAAAGTACAAAGATGATAATCATTATGTTGTAATAATGTTTAAAAAGGAAAAAAAGGAAAAAGAACTTCAGAAGACCAAAAACAGTGTGGTGATGGAGAGAATTCGGAGTTTCTCGCAGTGCCCCCCAATCTGCACACTTCCACACTAGCAAAGGCAACACATCCACCTTTTTTTTTTTTTTAATTGAATGAGAACAGAGAAAGATTATGATAGGCACTGCATTTATAAGGCAGTTTGAGAATATAATGATGCAGGAAATAAACTGTTTTCATTCTTCACTTTGGATTGCTTTACCCAAAAGGCATTATCTAGTCATACTGCTGGAGAATTTTAAACTGTAGGAGGCACGATTTGTTCTGACTGCTGTCCTGTGCTATGCAGCCTTAGTAAAGTTGCTTAATGAACTTCTGTGCTTTATTTGGTCAGACTGAAATGGGAGATAACCCTTCACTTGAGTTGGCATGCAGTAGTCACAAACTGGAAGCAAAGAACCTGTCTTTTTTTGCCTTTATCTTTCTAGAATGTTGCAGTCTGTGGAAACTGAAATGCTTTGTGTCACCAACATTGCTAATTTCTCAGGTGCTATGCTAAGATCCCTTAAGTTCTCTTGAGCACTGGCAACTCAATTCTGCTGCCACATTATTCTTGGCAGGCGGAGCAGCATGGGGAAGATGGCATAGGCGTCTGGATCCCAGCTTCCCTCACATTGAATGTGAATGAAGTCACATTGCATGCTCAATCTCTGCACTTGCCAATCCCACACCTTTTTCCTGGACTCCATGACACCTTGAACAGACGTAAAAGGTTTCCCCCTTTCACCTATGTCCTCTCCCAGCATCCCCAGAACGATCAGGCATTAGACATCATCAGGTAAGGGCCAGAGGCTCAGAAGAGTTAAATCACCACCCAAGTTCACACAGCCCACAGCTGAGCAGAAGGGCCTCTGACTCCACATCCTCTTCATGCCAGCCTTCCTTTGAAGCTTCTTGTGGGCAGTTCACAGGCTTCCCAGAAGCCTGCAAAGCTCATTTCATTAAGCCT